ACGGGTTTTCACCCACCCCTAAGAAGAAAACGAAGCAAAGAAGTCGACAACCAAGAAGAAGTTGTCACATCCAGTATAGAATGATACCTGCCGAGCACGGCTTGCCAGAACACAACCACGAAGAAACCTCAGAGGGGTGCAAGAGAGCAGCCACCATCGCATACAGCACGATAGCTAATCGATGCCAAGTAGGGCAAGTACCCAGGAACTAGCCCAAGCAGAAAAGCATATCTAGGTCAATCTATGTTTGTACGATTGCCACCTCTGCCAAACGAACGCCACCAACCAGTAGACGAGCACCAGGAAGGTCGCCAGGGACAAGACGAGTTGCCGTCGCTGTGCCATCCACATGCTCAAACACCCTCGTCAGACTTGAACGCCCACAGAGGTTGAAAGTCCCAACCGGCCCAATCCAGGTAGTAGACCACGAGCTGCCCAAGTGTACAACAAGTATTTGCATCAGATCTGTACGCAAGCCCTTTGAAATTCATGCCGTCAAAACCTCCGAAACCACAGAGGCGACACATGCACAGCGTTTGATGTGTGCGCGCCGGCCCCCGTGCGGGTGATGCCAATCACGAAGTCCCAGGGCTTCACGCCGGGGGCGACAACAAGCAAAGGGCATGTAGCAGTTGGCACAGAGGCATAAGTTAAGGAGCCATGGCTGCAATGCTGAGGTGCCTCAAGGAGAAATTGAACCAGCAGACTCGAGAGATTCAGGATCTTCGTTCGCAGCTTGCATCGCGGAGCACTGGTGAGTCATCAGGCGGCGGTGCTATCCTCAGTCGCCAGACAGAAGTTTCATCCTTCTTGAAGACTTGTCAGGCCTCTCAATCGGGGGAAATCTTGCAGAATCAGAATGCAAGCATCTCCGCAGACAAGTGGAGGTTTTAAAGCAGCTTCTCAGGGACACCTGGCCTTGCAAAGAGTGCAGGCCAGAAAGCAAGAATTACTGTTGCCATGTCAAGATGGTCCATACGAGCTTAATGCTGCTCAAGGAGTATGGTCTGGTTTGGACGCCAGATGCTCAAGTCACAGAGCCTCCAGATTCCTCATCTGGAGGAGTTACAGTTGATTTCCAGGTGCCGTGTCTTAGTTTGCTGCATCCTGCTTTGCATCTGCAATTCGGGGCGCCGAAGCACTGCATTGTACAATATTCTGTATTCAAAGGCAGTGGAGCGTCAGATCATAGCAGAGCGCAGGTCATAAAGTCGCGAATAGAGAAGCTCAACGCCACAGTCGCCGATACAGCCCAGAAGGTGCTGAGCTCCCTTTATCTTGACATGTCCCTCTTTTCACCTGACACTGAAAGGCAAAGCAGAGATTTGCCAACCAGCACATGTAGGAACAAGCAAAGCAAGTGTATGGCAGTCACCGCAATCCCTTTGATTTGTCAAGGTGGTCAAGGAGGTGGTGGGCCCTACTTGCCGTGCACGTCTGCAAGATGCTGATCGGCTCCCGCTCACATTCTTCAATGATGGTGTCCTGCAGCAACATACAGCTTTTAAGACAGCCGCAGGCTCTTTCAGCAGTACTGCGTCAGAAACTGAGGACTGAAATTGGCACAGCATACGTTTCTTCCTTTTGAGACGAGCTCCGCACAAGAAATCATCCGTGTCTCGGATGTTTTCAGAATGGCAGGCATAGTGGCCAACTTGAGACCCGATCACATTTATGAGCCGGTTATGTATTTTCTCGGTTGCTGCCGGCTGTCGGGGGTAAACTGTTTCAATGGCATGCCGAACCCAAACTTCATGGTCGATTTCAGGAAATCTCCTTGATGGCTGCCTGCCGCGAATGCTGTGGGAAGAGTATCCGGATGGTGTAGCAATGCAAGCCGTCGATCGTACCAAGCATTCCTTCCGGACATGGCTGAAGGAACCTCAATGCACAACATAGATTGAGATGCTGTGTGACGTTCTCTGTAGCTGGAGGTATTAAATCATGTGCGCACAGAGATCATACCTTCCGTTGTAACATTGGCTGGGCACTGTCTGCCAGGCATGGGCAGAGTCTAGGTTTGTCGCCTGTTCCACCATGCATTATGTCCTCCTTGCAGCGCTCGATACTTGTAAGGAGGGGGAGGCTGCTGATACTGAGCTTTGCCACGGCGGTGATCGCCTTCGGCCGCCTGGAGCTCTGGTCATTCATGAGGACATCCTGGTGTGGAAGTCGTGTGTTTTGCCATTTCGCTCGGAATAGCAGTATTCCATAAAACTTCTCTGGGGTGGGGTTCTTCTTTAGGTTTTCCAATAAGCGGGCAACGATACGGAATGGCATGCGGTGCGGCGCGGCGTCCGGCGAGGTTGGTCGCGGAGGGTTGGGCGGTTGCAGGGAGGTTGGTCGCGGAGAGTGGGGCCGTTGCGGATGGTGGTCGAGTGCGGCACGGTGCGTTGCGGGCGCGAGTGGTGGCCCAGTTGGTCGCGGAGGAACGGTGGTGGTGGTGGTGGTGGTGGTGGTGGTGGTGGTGGTGGAGTTGGTGGTGGTGGTGGTGGTGGTGGTGGAGGAACGACGGCCACGAGGATGGGGTGTGGTGCAGTGCAGCGCGGGTTGGAAGCTGGCGAGGGTGGCCGCGAGGACGGGGTGTGGCACGGTGCGGTGCGTGTTGGATGGTCTGAGGAGGGTGGCTGCGGCGAGGGTGTTGGATGCTGCGGAGGGGTGGCCGCAAGCAAGAGGTGCGGCATGCTGCGGTGTGGGTCTTGGATGCTGGGGACAAAGGTCGCGAGGACGGGGTGCGGCGGGTGCTGCGCGGGTGGTGATGGACAGGCAGGAACAATGCGGCGATTATTTTCGTCACCAGGTGCCGCTGCTCCCAGTCGCTCACATTACCGGCTGCAGTTCGGATAAAAAGCAAACACACCGCTCTGGCGGGAAGGTTTGTGGGTTCCCGGATTGACCAATTTTTTTCGGCCTACTCGACAAACAAAATCAGCTTGTGGAACTGAGACATAGAGCGCGAAGAACTCAGAATGCACTTGGTGAAGTGCTCGGACAGCGCACTCCACCTTGAGGACAGCCAAAACGCATCTGAGCGTTTTCTGGCAAAACTTCCCGAACGGGTGCTGCGCAATGGCCAAGTCTGCCGAGAACTCAGCAGGTGCAGCATGTTCACTCCAACACGCTGAAATCCGCTGAAGCCTTGGACTGCAGCATCTGAACGAGTTTTGACCTTCTTGCGATGTCCTTTTTAGTACGAAAAATGGACCAGCTTCCACCACCAAGAAACATCACTCAGGTGAGGTCCGCGCGGCTATTGCCCAGAGGCCATAACTTTCCATGCATGCGTGGCGTATCGGGAGAAGATTATCCAGAATTCGGCTTTGCCGGACAGGCTTGGAGTGGGAAGCACGTCTGTTCGAAGTTCCTCTGCGCCACCAAGCGGCTCAGAGAAAGGGCTTTAAGAATAGGTCGTGTACGTATGTTGCGAAGATGTTTCAATGCTGAAGGTGCTGAGGTGTCACTCCTGCAGCCCAATCGCCCTTCGAGTGCACCAGCTGCGCGCTTGCAGGCATCAACTTAATTCTGTCTCTGCTGTCAAGCAGAGCATCTTGCAGGATACTATTTCTTGACAGTTGACAGGAGTTTGTTCACCTCTTTACAGAATTGTTTGCGCATGGTGGAGCTGTGTGGCAAGTACACTGTGTGTATATGCTACCTGTGTTCATTCAGTGAGTGCAAAGGTGAAGCTTGAATGCGGGCAGAAGGTTCTTTTGAGAATGGAATTTGGTGACACCGTCGGTGACCTGTGGCTGCTTGGTCAGCAGGTTCAGTTTAGCTGAAGAGCTCCTAAATCAGAGCTGAGAAGGCACTTGCGGATCTCGTGGTCCCCTCAAGCAATGTAGTGGGCCCCTGCCCCTTTCATCCAAGGCAGGCCCTCTCGGAGTGGCGTTCGAAGAACCGTGTGGCGCGCGCACGGCCTGGATGCGTGCTGAGGAGACCTGGGCAAGACTCCAAGAACAGCTAAAGCGACAAGTGCGTGGTGTTCAGGACTGCCTTTCCCCCGAAGGCTTACACGGCTCCTGGGCTGAAGTGAGCGTATGTGCGTACTTGCAGTGGCTACAATTCCCTTTCCGAACCCTAGAAATATGCGCTGCCGCGCTGCCCTTCTGCTGGCGTTTTGAAATGTGGGCCCCCTATACTCTTGCACGGCCTGCTGTTTTAAAGAACCCGATCTGGAGCAAATGACAATCTTAAGAGTGCAAAGTGCAAATGCAGATGAACCAGGTGAAGCCTCAAGAGGATTGAACTGTTGAGCAAAGGTGCCCCCACGAGCGTAGCAATGGTCGAAAGGATGTTCACATAGAACGAATATTAGAGTTTGAGTTTGAGCAGGATTTTTCTTGAACGTTGAGCTTGAGGACAGAAGCGAAACGTTGGAAGCAGCAGGGCTGACGCCCAGTGCCACGCTCTTTGTAAGTTGCGAGGTGAGGGGCTGGAGCTTGAGTGTTGAACTGAGCATGTGGTGAGCAGCACTCTGGCATGCAATGGCAATGTCTAGACTGTCCTTTGCAGGCGGTGGATCAAGAGCATCCTGCATGACAGCACCTCTCATGGAGCCGATGCCGCCGATGCCGCCGATGCCATTGTACATAGTCGCGATAATGTAGCGCTGTGGTATGTGCTCTCGGTAGACGCATCCAGCATCCCAACCTTTTCAACTCTCATCACTGCAAACAAGAAGAGCTGCCATGTTAGCTTCCGAAGGTCCCTTTTGACCGTCGAGCAGCGACTCGTTTTCTGCGTTGAGAGGGCATGTCACGCTGGTTGATGTAGCCCCCGGTTGCTGCAGCCAATTGATAGCACAGTCCGCATTGTCATTCTTCAGCAAAAAGATCATTAAGTCGCCGCAGGTCAGATAATTGGCAGAAGAGCTTCTAGTCTAGACAGTTGACAGCCCAAGCAGCTTGATTTGCCACTTCTCGTCGAGAGACGATGGAGTCTGGGACGCCTCCTGAAGATCCAGAAGCGCTTGAGGCTCAGAAGATGCCTGGCCCGCGCACATCAGTCTAGCCGTGAGATTGCCTACTGGACTGTTACATTTCGCTGATGCTCCGTGGAACTCCCAGGGTGCAGCCCATGGAGGATGCGCAGCCCCTGCACCTTGCGCAAGGCGGCGCTGGCTGTGCATTTTTTGCAGGTTTCTCTTGTGCCCAGACAGCAAACTCATGCATGCTGTGCGATGAGTCCGCCGACTGGCCCAAGACTCACCGTGAGTTTTACCTGTGTACCGAGCTTGTCGTGGAATCTTTAGTGGCACGTAGCGGCCTCAGGTAAGCTTGAGGCACGCTTGATCATGTCGTGGGGAAGTGCTTGGCCGGTTGAGACTGAGGCTATGGCTGCTGCACTTGTTGAAGCGATGAGCGAGTTGACCCTGAAAGAACCGGAGGCTCAGAAGGAATCGATCATGGTGGAGTTCAAGGCTGCGTCATCTGTAGAAGTCAGGAGTTTAGGCAGAGGGCTTGTTCATTTCACCTAGCTGGGTTGGCAGGTTGCTGGCCTGAAGAGCTTTCAGCTGGAGTGTGCGCGTGATGCTGCTGTCCGTGACGTCAAGAAGCTTGCAGTGGACGAGTGCAACATTGAGCCTGAGCACATGCGCCTGATCTACAACAGCCGTCAGTTGAAAGATGGCGACACCTTGGAGAGCTACAATGGCGATGCGCCCATCCAGGCTCTTTTTTTTAGGAATTCTCAGCTGTTTCTCTCATTTGCTTGGCACCAACATGGCAAGGTCTTCTTCACAGCAGGCCACACCGCCATGATGGGTGGTGTTGGAGGAACGGGAGGGGGACCTCGCGGTGGTCATGGTGCTCAGCCGCAGAAGCACCCCTTCTCCGCACCTGTGCGGGGCCTGCCCGGATCAAAGGGTTTGCGCTCCTCTCGCGTCTCTGGTCGTCCTGGCGGTATGGCGCTGATCCGCAAGTACGGTATCATGATGAAGCGCCAGGCGCGTAGTGTTGTGAGGATCTAAGAATCCGACTTGGCAGGTTTGTGCGAATGTCGTGCATTGTGAAAGGAATTCCGTGAGAAAGCAGAGGAGATTGGCTTCATCAAGTACCGCTGAGATGTGCTGTGAGCCATTCGTCACACACGGCTCTAGCTGTACATGCCACAGTAAGTCTTGCAACCTGACTGCAAGCCTTGGACGGTGCTATCTGGACTGGAGCTGGTGGTGCAAGTGCCCCCCTGCTGTGTACACTTCCTGGCACTGCACTTTCTGCTCACGGAGAGAACAAGATAGCCACCAGAAGACCTAACCTCCTGCACCTACGCGGTGCTCTTTGCAGTTGTGAACCAGATGGGAAGTTCAGAAGACAAACATAGACTTTCTGACTGTCAGGGGGTCATGATCAAGAAGACGGGGCCGCAGACTCTGTGCAGGCCCGCACGCTTAGGGTTGAGCGGCAGTGCAGGGCTGTCCTGTCACCTGGGGGCAGGGTTTGCATGCCATGCAAGAAGCAAATCCCTGCTCCAGCAGAGCTGCCTTGTGTGAAGATGCATGAAGCATCCATGCAGGGCCTCTTCAGGGGAGGGGGAGACATGGGACCGGGGAAAATGAAATGGGATTGTGGGGGTGAAGCCAGCCTTTCTTTGGGGGGGGCAGAGAACTTGTGTAAGGTAACTCTCCCTGTAATTTCGCTAGACTCCAGGTCCATATAAAGAGCATTTGCATCAGCATGGATGCATCTACAAGCCAACGCAGTAGGAAAAGAGATGGAGCCGGAAGAAGAGTGCGGGTTCGGCACTTCAGCAAGAGGATGAGCAAGTTTTGGGAGGAGTGGAGGAGCAGGTCTGGCAGCGGGCAAAGTGTTTGCAATCACTGCCGATGGGGCGGGAGCTTTGGCTTCAGTGGTGCCACAACTTTGGGCGCAGCGGCTTTGGGCAACTGCTGGACATTCCATTTAGGGGCAGGACTGTTTTGATATTCCACTTGCCCTTGTGCATCCCATTGAGTCGCCTTGGCGAGCCCCGTCTGCGGGGAGAAGTAACGCACAAATTGTTGGATCTCGGACTACTGATTTTGGTTGCACTAGGGATTTGAGCCCTGTGCCCTGGCCGCAGAATCTGGCCGTGCCTGTGGAGGTCGAGGCCGAGGATCACTGGAGCTGCACCACAGCGTTCTTCACCCAGGTTTTAATCCAGGTTTGAACTCTGGCAGGGTTGAACCCAGACCAAGCTCAGATGGCCACCGCCCGTCAGATGAAAAACTCGTCGTCATCAATGGAGGGCCTACAAGGCAACCGTCCGCCGCAAGCCTTCTTGCGCGCCGTGTGAGGCCAGGGGATGAAATGCACCCATCCGTGTTGAAGAAGATGCCTGGGCTGCTGGGAAGCGTCGCTTTGCACGCTCCCAGCAGGCATTCGCGTCCATGTATTACTCCTCGCCACCATTTCAATGCTTCTGCGATGGAATTGTTGTGGGTTTGAGAGTAAAAGGGTTTATGTTGCATTGCCTTGCGGTGTGTAATGTTGCGTCGAATAAGCGCGGGCGTGGGAAAGGGTTTTCTCGCCAGTATGTTGTCACTGGTCCTGTTATTCTTGTTGTAGGGCTTCGGGGGAATCAGCGGGGTATGCTGGGATTGGACTAAAGTGTGCAGAACTATGTCGGACGTCACGACGTGCTTGTGCGGCTGTCATGCGTGCTCATTGGTACAGCTTGCAACATCTGGATTGGCTGAATCAGGTTCGAATTTGAAACAGTTTCTCCTGCATTTTGGCAGTGAACGTTTAACATTGTGAAGATGATTGATGCTTAAATGCTTCATCAACACTTCCAAATTTGCGGGATTTGTCAGCAATTGTTCGCTCGACAGCAATTCTGAATAGTGTGCCATGGGATTTGTTGTGCACCGGTGCCGCTGCGTGTCTTGGGTTGCCTAGAGACTGTTTTGGGGCATGCGTCTGGGTCGGCAAGCTCCCTGTCTCGGCCGTGTCGTAATTGTGGGTGGTGAGACCGTGCTGAGCGAGTGGTTGGATGGGTGGTGCAAGAAGCGCACAAGTGCTGCGCGCCGTTCTGGATAAGACAAGTAGAAGTTTATATGTGTCGACATTTCCACGTTGTGGGAAGATGCACAACATGATTTGCTTGATGTGACTTCACGCGGGGTGGATGGGACTTTGCTCCGAGCAGCGTGTGCCTGGTCAACTTCCAAACTTATGTGATTTTACGTGTGTTGATTTGACTTGACCCGCCCACTGTGCTTGTATCAGGGGTCGGGGCCGCCTATTCTTGTCGGATTTTAGGCTTGCTGAGCCGCATTACTACACTCTGGGATCCCGAATTTTCAGTGGTTTTGGACTTTGCATGAATTTACAGGTCGCTGCTTGTGTGACTGCCTGCTGGTCCTAGGGTAAGTTTAGGGTAACAATTTGGCGCTGTGGTTCAAGTCCACTGATTCGAGGTTCAGTTATCCTGGGTCGAGGAATTAATTTTCAACGAGTTACGACGATATGGGCGTGCTTGGTGTCTAATCTTTATTGGTCAGGGGTTTCTGCGTTTTTGGAGCCTGCCTGAAGTTGCAGCTACTGCATGTCAGGCAGAAGACGCCGCCGCTCAAGTTGAGGCTGGAGCACATATTGTAATCTTACAGATGCGTGAGAGGCAAATCAATGTTCAGGCTGAACCTGACAGCCTCCAAAACGAGCTAGCGGAATGGCGACAGAAGGTGCGCAAATTGCCTGTGCGACGAAAGCATGGCTGCTGCAGCCTCGCAACTTTGCTTTAGATTGTTCAGTGTACTGTAATTGGGCAAAGCAGAGTTTCTGTCGCCCCTTACCTTTTCGCCCTGGTAGTCGCAGGATTGGAGAAGTACTGAGTTATGTGATTTGTCAGCAGATGTTGGTCGTTTGCAGTGATCCTAGCATCTGCTTTGAGTGACGGTTTATGCCTGTGTGGCTCTTCAGCCATTCTATACAAGTGGTCATTTTGTGTAAGCAACGGCTAAAAGGCTTCATTAAATCATTCCAACAAGAAAGCCGTTGGGTATGCGAAAGTTGTCATCAGCAGCAGGAGAAATGTGCTGGATGGCTGCTCACCCTTCGAGCTTACCAAAAAACAGGGGCAGAGAAGCTTATATCTTCGTCTTCCTTGAACAGGTTGCCACGCAGCGTGATACAATAGCTGGACACCCAGGGTGACCGGTCAGGGCAAGCCTTTTGATCCAGCTAACCTGTACGCATGTCCGTAGGCCCAAAGTGAGCGCGAGCGGGCAGAACTGCGTGCTGACGTGGAGAGGCAAACTTCGCTTTGTGCTTTGAAACACGTTCAACTCTGGAAGCTCCCGCATTCGTGGCTTCATTTCGCACAGTTCGATGTGCAGAGTGCTTTGTCGGTACGAGCTGCTGAGCCTTAGGCTAGATGCCAGGCTGCCTCCATAACGGGCCTCCGCAAAAGATTCCCCATGACGTGACCAAGAGCAATTAAGAACTCACTTCAGTCTATGTATCTATTCTGGTTTGGGATGCGGAAGAGTGTAGCGGCGGCCCGAGCGCATTGTGCCGAGCTTGACTATCCACATCATAAAGGCTTTCAAAGTCAAAGGCCCAAAATGCAGCGGAAGGCAGGTTGAATCTTCCACATGGTTTATAAATGAGTAGGAGATGAAGGATGCTGCACATGAGCGCAAGAGAGACGCTGGCAACAGCATAGACTGGTCAAGCTGTGCTTCCAAAGGGGGTGCAGGATGGAGCCGGGAACAGAAACTCAATGTGTCAAGATCTTCATGCTGTATCGAAACCTGCCCTGGGTGTGAAGCATTACTCTAAAGAGGGCCGCCGTATAGTTTCACACTCAACTCTGCAGACAGGCCGTAGCGCGAGCCTGAACAGTCGCTGTTTGGGATACAGGCTGCAGCACAAGGTCCAGTCTCTCACAAGCCTGCCTGGCATGCTTTCAACGATTCATGGGTTGACTTCAGGGACTATGCAGGCAACATGTGGCCCGCTGTAGCGCAGTTGGGGCGGCATCTGAGTGCAAAGCCGTCTGCAGGGGCACGGCACTTTACAAGCTAACAGTCAACTTCTTGTGTCCCAGAACATGTCAGGTGAACGAGATCGGCTGCAGCGTGGCGGTGCCGCGGAGGCCGCACAAATGTAAGGTTGACAAGCCTGTGGGCCATGCGATTCTGCGAGCGTATCGATGCGCGTAGGTGCCAGCTGCAAATAGACATCCCAGCGTTTGTTCAGTTCAGTTCGCTAAAGCTTTCTCTGTCCTTATTGCTTCGTATCAGTGCAGGACGCTGAAGCGAAGCACCACGAACTCGAGGCAGACCACGCGGCGGTTGTAAAGCCGTTTGTCCCAGAAGCCAGCAAGGGTGCTGACTTCAGGTTGTAGACAACATGAGATCATGCAGAATCGCCCTCTTTGTTGGTGTGTCTTCGCTGTCTCATCCGTGCACAGCGGCCTGCAGTGCTTGTCAGGTTAGACTAGAAACGCTGAAGCAACAGAAGGCTGAGATAGAATCCGGCAGGGCCCTTGAAGGGGATGGCAACAGCATGCCTGGACTCCTCAAGCTCCAGGCATCGCCCAGCAGGAAGAAGCGCTGCAGGAGGCTCGCATCGCTGCTGCGGCGGCTGCTGATGCAGCCAACGAGACCTGGCCAAGTCAAAGAAAAGCAGAACTGAGAGCATCGGAGGGCCGAACTGAGAGCCTTTGGAAGCCGTGTCAGCGTTGGGCCCAGGCGGCAGCAGCGGAGCTTCTGGATGAGGAGCTGCGAGAAACTCTACAGGGCTCTTGCCTTGTACTCAGCGCCACAGCGCACCTTGCTGCTTTTCAGGAAGCGTGCCTTCAAGTTCATCACCAGTCGGCGGCAGCTGCTGAGGACCGCATCTGTTGTCAAGGAGTCTTGCTGGCTATGGCATCCTTTCAGGCAGCGGCAGCCGCTGCGGAAAAACGTGCATACCTCAAAAACACGTCCACCCTGGCGCGCTGACCCTTTGCTGGTTGATACAAAGATCCCAGCATGCATCCCACTCAGTACCCAGGCCTTCTGCACATGGTTTCAGTGGAGGTTCCCTGGCCAAGCCAATGGGATGTTCTTCCCTTGCAACAGGATTAATCTGCTGT